TCACGTTCATTCAATACGAATCCCTTCGTTTGTCGTTTTCATTATTATTATTATTATTATTTACGAAACAATAATTTTAAATTTTTGTTAAGTAAAGGCTTATAATAGAAACCATGTAATAATAATAATAATAATAATTTTTTTTTCGGGTTTGAGAGTAACGAGGTCGTCAAATTTCCATCCATCCATCCATCTATCTATTTATCGGGCTAAAGAAAATTTCTTTTATTATTATTATTATTATTATTATTATTATCATTATTATTTCTTTCGTAACTAGAACTTTTCTGCTTTGAAATTCTCCAAAAAAAAAATTTACTTCTTTTGACATTTCAACCGAGTTTTTAGTTTTTTATTTATTTTACCAGACGAGTTTTTATTTCACGTAAATTATTTCCAATCGAATCGGTCGAAAAAAAAAAAGAAAAAAAAATATGGCGGAAAAAAAAATGATAAATAATTTCTATGGACGTGCAAAACTCGTTTGCTCGTTTTTGTTTTCGTAAATAAAAAAATTAAGGGGTTAAACGATTATTTGAGTTATAAAATTAAGATGGAGAAGAAGATCGTGTGATGGTGACCCCTTTTAAAAAAAAAATTCTCAATCGATTGATTTTCTTATTTCGTTTGAGTGATAATGATAATTATTACTACTAAGCATTATAACGTTCATTGAAAAAATATTACGAGGAGAATAACATTAAATAAAAAAAAGAACCGTAGTTGGTTCGGTTGGTTGGTTGGTTGTTCGTTCGTTCGTTCGTTTGTTTGTGTCATCCGGTTGTTGTTGCTATTTAATTAAAAAACTTGCCAGTGATGATTCAAGGTCTGTCATCACGACGATGACGCGCGATCGATGCACTATTTTTCCTTTTACGAAAAAAAAAAAAAAAAACGAAACGAAGCGTTATTATAACGGTGGTTCTATCAAAAAAAAAATGGACACGAAAACGTTAAAACGACGACGACATTTTTTTTTGTCACCGGACAATTACCTTCTCGCGATTTTTTTCACTCCTCTCTCTCTCTCTAATTTAAAATTTTTTTTTTTTTTTACTATTATTAGCAAAAGGTGTGTTTGTACGCGAATACAAATCCTCACATACGTTTTGTGTGCGTGTGCGTGTGTAAATTATGTACACATTTACGTACGCGTATATATTAGAAAACTAACGTCCGTTATTTTTTTAAAAAAATTTCACTTAACTCTCACTTTTTTTTTTTTTTAAATTTTATTTCAACTCTATTATCACAATCGTCGTCGCTATATCATCATCATCATCATCATCACTATAAATAAACCGAAAAACCGTTTTTGAAGGTAACTAATAATAATAATAATAATTTTTTTTAATTTAAAAAAAAAAGAAGAAATCGACTTGCTCCGCTTGATGTCTGATTAGACTGTGAATGGCACTCGTGTGGGGGGACGTTTGAATTCATTTAAACAAAAAAAAAAATTACGGTTGAGGATAAGTCGAGGGACTTTTTTTTCTTTTTAACTTAACAATGGGTTGTTGGCAACGCGCGTTTTTCAAAGGAAAGGGAAAATGGAAATTTTTTCTTGTTTGAAATGTTTTTTTTGTTATTGTCACAAAGGAAACAAAACCGGAAGGGAGAGTAAACGACGTTTGTAAAAAAAATAATGGCGGTCGGTAAAAAAAAAAAAAAAATAATTTTTATAATTTGTTTGTTTGTTTTGTTTGTTTTGATTTATTAGAAAGATTTTTGACG